CACGTGGTACTTTCATCGATAGGATGAGCAAAATCAAATGAATCTGCCGCTAGAACATGGAAATATACACTGCCACGCTCGTTTTGGTCTCGTGCGGCAGTGTGCTTGTGTGTGTGTGTGTGGTAAATAATTAAAAACGTACCCCAGCGACCAAGCTTCACACCAGACAACCTTTCCCAAAACAACAACACAGCGCAAGACTAGAGGCGGCAGAACAAAAGCACGGCATTCAGACGAGAATGCCATCGTACAGATGGACCAAGGCCTCATGGCGAGAGCTCAGCCTGACGGTTGAGAGAGAAAGGTCGAGTCCAGAAGAACGACTGGCGAACGACAGTAAGGAAAGAGGCAGGGGACACAATAGTTGATGACAAGAAGTGGCAAGTTCACAACAGAGAGCAAAGGCTGGAGGGTATGGGGGAGGCAGGTGGGCAGACAGACAATACACAGTGCCCAAAACACAACCAACACGCCAAAGAAACACAGCAAACACAAAGAACAACGACCCAAAAAAAGTTGGTACCAAAACATTCAAAACCGAAAAAAATAAAACTGATGATAGATTGTTTCGTCGGAGTTGCACCAACTCATCAGGAAGCTGAACCCGTGACAATCTGCGGAACGCCCGTATTGATGGTTTGGGTCATGAACCCTTTGCAGCGGGCAGCAACCCTGCGGAGCACCAGGCAGCGCAGTAGAGGCAACATGGGTGCACAACGCCAAAAACGACTGCAAGGAACGACACGGCACACCGAACTCGCAGCACGGCACCCGAGCAGTGAAGCACCAGGCAACACCACCAAGACAACCACACTTCAAGGGACGAGAGGGCAAGCGGACAAGCAGCAGAGCGACCATGCTGAGGAGCACAAGACAACCCCAACACGGCAACCAAACTACAGGGCGCGCAAGCAAAGGACCCGGAAGGCACGACCGGCGGACGGGCCGCAAGGCAGTGAAGCAGTGAAGCAGCGAAGCGCAAGGCAACACCACAACCCGGCCACACCACACAGCGAAGACAGCAGCATGCCAAGAATGACCTGCGAGGCAAGCAGAACGGGCAGCAAGGCAGTGGTGGAGCGCAGACGGGGTCGTCCACACATCCAACACGGAGCAAAGCAGCACATCACCCACTCACATCACGGATGAACCCCACAGACTGTTGGTTCCCACCACCCACTGAGCCAGGGAGACACTCCGACGAGC